CTGTTTTAAAAACACCCGTTAAAGGATTTTGCAGAAGGTTCAGATGCATTAGAATCATTTTGAAGATTAAAAATGACCCTCAATGCCATATTTGTTGTAAACTGATTCATGCATTAGTCCTTGTATTAAACCCTCAAGTACAAAACTTACTTAATCAAAGCGTAACGAAGCCTGTGGCAAGGGCAGAAAGTATTACAGAGGGGTTTTTAAATAGGCAGGGGAGCGCCGCGGCCCTCTGTGCTGCTCGCTGTCCTGATACGATCTGTTTCGTATTAAGGAGATTTATACAGCACATCAGCCTCTTGTCTAAAGCTGTGGATGTAATTGGGTTAGCCAGTGTTTCCCAGGCTGCATGTCAAGGTTGCACATGTTTGACTTTGAGCGGTTGTGTTAAGGGCTCTGATTGCCTGCAGTGACATAAATCCGGATGCACTGGTCAGTAGAGCTGTAGTCCATGCATCATTTAGCAGTCGCTATCGCATCACTGTGTTTAGTGGCTCCTCGTGACTCCTTTGTGTGCTTCTGTGAGTAAAGAAGGTGATACTTCAAGACATATGTTTATCCTGGAGTATGCTGTAATACCACAGAAAGCTTTCAGTTTAATCTCACTATGTTGTTCTTATGTTTTTTGTTTTTATTATTATTACCAATAAACTTGATAAATTAAAAATAATATGAGTAACTGACATGATTTTTTTTGTTTATCGGCCAACATGGAATCTCTCTGGTCATCTCTGATAAAAAGCCAGAGAGATTATCGTCTGTGTAAAATATATGTTTATGATACTCATGCAGAATTTGTGGTTCTGCACTGGTGCCTGCTTGCATTGGGCTTGTGTGAACTCAATAAACACAGAGGCTACGGGGACATGCTCCATGCAATCCCTCAAAAAGAGATGATGACACTCTGCATACGATGAGTGCTGAATAGTTGAAAAGTTGGTTTGCAAAGTGCCACAATAGTCCAGCAGTGGACACTTTTCTTTGTTATGACACTTTTGTTTTTACAGCTTATGTTAACCACTGACTTTTTTTCTTATTTTAACCTTTATTTAATCAGAAAGTGAAACCCTTGAAATAAGGAATATCTTTGGTCAGTGTTAACCTAGTGTGTTATTAAATGCCAAGGTAAAACCATCTCTGACACATATTTTTCCCCATACTTTTGAAGATTAAACGAAGAAATTCAAATGCCACACAGAAGAGCTCTGCCTGGTCTGGAACAAGGATCTGCTCGCTGTCAGGCAGTGGTGCTAACCGCTGAGCTGCTGTGTTTAAACACTATGTAAAAAAACAACAACAGTGACTTGGAGACAAAGAAATCACTCATGCAAAATGCTAATTTCTGGGTGTTGTGCCCGGAAATTATCATTTTAATCCATTATGGTCGATATTGCGATGAAGTTGATACTCTTCTGATCTACCGAGGCTTATTAACACCATCAGGGCAAGTTATATGGCTTGCCAGTAGAAAATTAGATATTGTATGTGATGGCCCTGCAGAATGACAGCCAAAAGAAATTTGACAGGACACATGGACATCGATGGACCCATATGGGCTGTTGTAGAAAATGAAACATGCAACTGTTTAGTAAGCAGGCTGCAGTTATATCTGATGGACTGTATGGTATAAACAAATCCTGGCAGTGCATCTGCTCTGAGGAAAGACGCAGAGATACAGTATTTCTAGTGAAGCGACAACATTGACACTACATTTATTATCATCAGTCTGAGCTCTTATGCTGATGACTGAAACCTAAAAAAGGCTATGCCGAGTGTATTGTGGTTCAGTCATATCACATCACAATGAAGGGGCACCACTGACCATGGCATAGTGGCTCAATCCTCTGCAGTGTCATACTGGGCAGGGCTAAACGTGAACGCCCCTGCAGGAAGCAGAGGGAACTGAATCAAGGCACAACACTCATATTTGTGCACATACTGTACTGTAAAGCATAAATTCTTGATATGTTGGGACGAGAACAGAAATTATTAAGTATCTGTTTAAAGACAGTTAAGTGGCAACTAGTCTTATAACTGTCCAACAAAAATGCAAATTATTTGAAATTTCCAGCTGATGAAATATGAGAAATTGTAGCTCTGCCTTATCTTACTGAATAGTGAGTAGGATTTCAGGATCTACCCGCATCTCATCCTGTGACAGCTGGAATAGGCTCCAGCTCCCCTGTGACCCTAAAGTGGATAAGCAAAAGTAGATGGATGGATGGGCTCTAATAAAAGTAACTGACTGTCAAAATAAAAATCGCCAATTGCGGGTGAAATAACACCAGCGACATGAAGTAGGAAGGGCCGGAGATAAACTTTTAGAAATTTTCAGGCGAGCACTTGAAGCGACCACCAATGAAAGGACAGAATACCATGGATTGACATATGACCTAGTTGTAAATACATTATATTGTTACCTAGGCAACCAGGCCCTGGAATGTCCAGAAGCAACCAATAGTCAGCCTCAAAGCATTTACGCAGTGTTTGGGATGAGTAGTATTTGCACAACCATAAAGGTCATAGTTCAAAAACAAAATGCATGTTTCATGTGGGCGATCGTGGCTCAAAAGTTGGGAGTTCGTCTTGTAATCGGAAGGTTGCCGGTTCGAGCCCCGGCTCGGACAGTCTCGGTCGTTGTGTCCTTGGGCGAGACGCTTCACCCGTTGCCTACTGGTGGTGGTCAGAGGGCCCGGTGGCGCCAGTGTCCGGCAGCCTCGCCTCTGTCAGTGCACCCCAGGGTGGCTGTGGCTACAATGTAGCTGCCATCACCAGTGTGTGAATCGGTGGATGACTGAACGTGTAAAGCGCATTGGGGTCCTTAGGGAGTAGTAAAACGCTATACAAATACAGGCCATTTACCATTTACATTATGTCTGTGTCCTCGTCCAATCAGCTCGATGCAAGATAGCGGATGATGGCTGGTAACGTAGGCAGCTGCACATATTTCTGTCCTTCAAGCTGCTCATTATGTCTGATTACTTTCTTCTCCTACAGTGGGCACTGTGAGGTTGGTATATGCTAATACACATGAGCCAGGTTGCAGAGTCCTAACATATCATAACACGGGCTGGTCCACTGTTGAGGGTGCAGCACTGCATGTTCTGACCACAGAGCTCTTTCTGTTGCACATTTAGGGGTCACATGCATTTAGGGAACATATGCTCTGAGGGTAGATTTAGGTTACTGCAGAATGCTTACAGATGGAGAAGGTGATGCTGAAGAGACAGATGAGAAACAGAGTTTCTGAATTGTTTGATAATAAGCAAAAGTGGTGAATTGAGACCATGTTTCTGCCCCAGTCACTCACCTTTTAGTGTGGATATCACATATTAAACCAGGGTCCTCGAAGAAAAAACTAATGGAGCGTATTTTTGTTAGTGTTTGTAACGCAATCTGGGATAAATAATCCGTGTAAATAATGATTAGACAAAAAATACACTGACTACACTGGAAAACAATTTAAAGGTAGCTTATGTTGCTGTTGTTAAGACACACCACATATGCTACCACTTTGATGTATAAAAGCGTCCACTGCAGTTTTAACGCCCACAAGCTGAAGTATCAGAATAATGCTAAGTGCATTTCTTTGCTTTCATCTTCAGAGGAAAATATGTAGTCCGGCTGTCAGTAATGAACAATAACAGCCTACATGTTTGGTTTTATTTTTGCAGATTTAAAAATACACACAAAA